ATGTTGTACAGTGCGATTTCGCTTTTCTGTTATTTTGGTTTTGCCCCTGCACTACCTTTATTATTTTTGACCTGAACATAAACCGTTCTTTGACCTTGGCATCGGAAGTGTTATTTAAGTTTCGCTATCTTGTTCACACCTGGCTTTGAGTAGTAGTTCCTAAGCCGCCGTATGGAAGCCGGCATAGTCCCACGACGAGGTTTGTGACGTTTTATTATTTTGTATTGTATTTATACTACAGCATTTGTAGATAAACCTCCACTCGAACGATTTGACTTTTGGATAATTGTGCGTAACGTGACGTGGTCCAATGGGTTGCTGGAATCAGTCTATATGTGTTTGCTGTACTCCGCCTGTAACACGATTTATATTCATACAAACATCCAGCTGAACGTAAACTACCTGAGATCCTGCATCGGCTCTGTTGTACCTGTGTGGATGCCCTCGACTAATCCAAAGTCCCTTGGCTCACCGAATTGCGCATCCCCGGCCCGATCGCCTCAACACTGATGTCCGTTACGAGGCTGTCTAGAAGCCAAAGTGAACCATTGCAATAATGGCACCGCAGCGCCATACTCAGTCTGATGGCACATATGCAAATAGTTGGTTAATGACCTAGACTGTCCCCCCTCCCTCTAGTGACAGGTACGCACAAACTGCATACCTGGGCCCGGCTGCATCTGGCAAGAAGTTGTTTCTATCTACTCAGCCCTTCCCTTGGATCAAACGATCTCGGTACACTTTCATTTTGTCCTTCCCAAAAAGTCAACAATTTTTTTACACTTCGCGTTTTGTCCTGTGCTTCCGACCACAAGAAAAGCATACACACGATTACCCTCAATCAGTGACATTAGTGAGTCACTACGGATTTGCTTTACAGTGTAGTTCTGACATTTCTGCTACCAACCAGCCCTACCGCGAACTTCTCTGCATCATTGTCCCAGTGTACACTTTCCGTGTGACCCTGGCTAAAAACGCAACTGTTTAGGGTCACGCAGCTCCATCACAGTTTTCTGATTTTAACTCAAAATTAGGATTTTGTTACTTCTCAGTTTCTTTCCAGTCAGAATCTTTTCTTTTTTCCCTTTTCCCACTGTTGCACCCAGCCATCTTCTAAATGTAATATTTTGAACCTGCTTCTGGTTGAGTATGTTTTACAACGGACCAAAACCTCCAAAAACCGAAAGGTTATGCCTTCATCTTTCACCACGTTCAAATCGTACCAACTTGGGCCTGACCCCACGTGCGACTACCCTTGTTCAACCAGGCACAAGTGGGAGTTAGGCCCCTGAGAGGTGACGGCACTCCATCGGAAACACTGTGGGACACGTTTCGTAGTCCACGGATTCAAAACTAGAAGCCATTTTCGTAGCACTCACTGAACATGCTCAGTGAGGGTTACTTCCTTCGTGTGCCCTGAGTGGACAACTTGGTGGCATATTTCAAGGAGAAGTCCGACGTGGGCCCCACAGATTATTCGGGAGCCCGTGCGAGTAATGCTGGAGAAGGCGCACCTAATCGTCCGTGGAATAACAAGTGCCTTGTTGATTCCAGAAGCCAAAGTGAACCATTGCAATAATGGCACCGCAGCGCCATACTCAGTCTGATGGCACATATGCAAATAGTTGGTTAATGACCTAGACTGTCCCCCCTCCCTCTAGTGACAGGTACGCACAAACTGCATACCTGGGCCCGGCTGCATCTGGCAAGAAGTTGTTTCTATCTACTCAGCCCTTCCCTTGGATCAAACGATCTCGGTACACTTTCATTTTGTCCTTCCCAAAAAGTCAACAATTTTTTTACACTTCGCGTTTTGTCCTGTGCTTCCGACCACAAGAAAAGCATACACACGATTACCCTCAATCAGTGACATTAGTGAGTCACTACGGATTTGCTTTACAGTGTAGTTCTGACATTTCTGCTACCAACCAGCCCTACCGCGAACTTCTCTGCATCATTGTCCCAGTGTACACTTTCCGTGTGACCCTGGCTAAAAACGCAACTGTTTAGGGTCACGCAGCTCCATCACAGTTTTCTGATTTTAACTCAAAATTAGGATTTTGTTACTTCTCAGTTTCTTTCCAGTCAGAATCTTTTCTTTTTTCCCTTTTCCCACTGTTGCACCCAGCCATCTTCTAAATGTAATATTTTGAACCTGCTTCTGGTTGAGTATGTTTTACAACGGACCAAAACCTCCAAAAACCGAAAGGTTATGCCTTCATCTTTCACCACGTTCAAATCGTACCAACTTGGGCCTGACCCCACGTGCGACTACCCTTGTTCAACCAGGCACAAGTGGGAGTTAGGCCCCTGAGAGGTGACGGCACTCCATCGGAAACACTGTGGGACACGTTTCGTAGTCCACGGATTCAAAACTAGAAGCCATTTTCGTAGCACTCACTGAACATGCTCAGTGAGGGTTACTTCCTTCGTGTGCCCTGAGTGGACAACTTGGTGGCATATTTCAAGGAGAAGTCCGACGTGGGCCCCACAGATTATTCGGGAGCCCGTGCGAGTAATGCTGGAGAAGGCGCACCTAATCGTCCGTGGAATAACAAGTGCCTTGTTGATTCCCCATGCGAATCAACGGTGACCAGCGGTAAGTTTCTTCCTTATATGACTAATAATAAGTAACGTGACTTACATCTGTTCATTATGATACCGTTTCGTTTCCTCGCTGCTCGTTTTCCCCCCTGTTTCCTTCCCACTGAAGGTCCGCTTATTCATTAGAAACTGATGTCCATATTTGTTGCCTGTCCGTCATTACCTGCAAGTTCGCCTCAGCTGTACATATTTTGGAGCGTCCACTCCGACAGAAAAGCGGACTGACCAGAAGTCGAACCCAGAGTTCCCGGGCGGAAAGCGAACGTGCCATCCACTATGACAACAAGGCGCCCGGAGATGCTTATTACTTTGTATTATTCATTTACCGCACCTGCCAGATAGCCCTCGACGAGGTTTCTTTTAAACGGATGAAACCGCGCAACCTGACTTGTCACGTGACACCAGCTGCCACGTCGCTGCTTAGCGGAACACAGTCTCTCACATCCCGAACGTTCTGGTTTTCCGTGCCGTTATCCTGTATACGGCTAACTCATACTTTCAGACCGCCCCTATACGTATGTTTGCACATCGTTTACTGTTTACTTGTTGTTGCTTCTAGAAATCCTTGCTGCCACAGTGACTATTTCCCTATTTTGCTGATTGTGTCATTATTGATTGAAAGTTTGCTTAATCCATGATGGACACTAATCCGTTTGTCTGTAGAACCAGTTCCCGTCAGTTCTTAATACATCATCAGGTACCCACGTCTGACTGCTCCTATTGACTGCTGGATACGAACTGCGTCTAATCTAAAAGCCGCAATCGCCCTGTGTGATCCATAGCCACTCGGCTTTACGTGCCTTTTGGGCTGACTTTTGTGATGCAGTGAAAAGGGCTTGCCTGAAGAGAGCCAGATACTGAAGTATTTTTCATCTATCACGGATTCACGGATTCATGGATTGATACACAGGATCAAGGCTTTTGCCCAAGTTTCCCGGGTCGGTTTTGTTCTTGTCGGTCAGTGGCTGTCGTTCACCTGAAAGGCAAAAGTGGTTTCTTCGTGGTTTCTTCTGACGCTTTCTCACCATGCATGACAAAGGCATTAGCTGTATCTCCTCCGAATGACATGTGGTGGGCACACTCTTTGCCATTCAGAGGAAGGTGCCACTTCAACGGCCATGCTTCGCATCGTCTACATCCATTTGGAGGGCACTAGCATTGGAACTCCAGGATTTCAAGTCGTCCGCAAAAAGTAGACATGGACTTGCAAAAACATCTTGAGGGGCGTTTGCATATATCAGGAAAAGCAGCGGCCACAGAACGGAGCATTGCAAAACCCCAGTAGAGACTATTGCTGGAGAAGAGTGATTCGAGTCTACCTTTGATCCGAATGATCTGTCTGAAAGGAACCCCTTGATGTGGGTCACCTCAAACTTGTCCTTCTCACTGCAACATTTCGCCCACAACTATTGTGACCCACCGATGCATCGAGAAGCCGTTAGTGATTAGTGCCATGATTCAGACGGGGTAAAAAATGGGAACTGAGTGCATAATAATGGAGCTTATCATGTGAAAGGAGTGAAAAAACTCAAAAAATGGCACTTGTGCACTCTGTAAACAGATTGAATAGTGAACGAATTCTTTCACAAATTTGCACAACATATAAGGCGCGTACGTTCGAAATCGGTTTCATTTTCCCCCGTGCAAATTTGTGAAAAAAATTTTCCCTTCTTCAGTCTGTTCACAGAGTACACACGAGTAGTTGTTGAATTTTATTACTAGCAAAACATCTGAGGGACAACCCTTGATATTTTGCGCTCAATTCCTATTTTACATCTAGTTCTAAACATGACATCAATTTATACCGATTGCCGTCTGCAGCCATTGACAAACCACAACAGATTTGGGCGAAATGGCTGCCCGTCGAACGTCAAACGCATTATGCGATGCCACACCTGCAAGGCCTGGTGGCACTTCAAATGCACGGGTTTATAGGACGACCAGGTAAGCCGACTACCTAACTCTCCTGACCCGTTTGTCTGCGCCAGCTACCTCTACGTTAAGAGCGCAATGCATACCGCAGCCAAGAGGAAAGCCCCCAAGAAAGGTACCCAATCCCCACTGCAGATTCAGAAAGACCGATGTCAGTGTCCCGCTTTGATCGGGATACTGGACGCGAAATTGGAGCAACTTTCAAAGGCACTGGAGGACTCAGACACTGAAAATACAGTGACTTGGATGAAAGTTGACAAAGAACTTTCTTTGCTGAACGAGTACCTTGCGATATCAATACCGGGCCCCCCGGCTGCGAAGAAAGTAATACGACTCTCTGACGCGGCTATAAAGACAGCCACAGCGTCTTTAGTGGACAAGCGCCTAAGGAAAGCAGATTGATAATCTTGGGGTCATTCTCCGGAAGAATCACGCCAGAGAAGCTGGCAAAATCAATCCTTAGGAATTTCCTCACAAAGCCCGACAAATCGCTCCACGCAGAATGGTTAAACCAGAAGGGAAGCAAGTGGACGCTTGGACTTTTCGTCACTCTTTCTCCCCCATCTGACGTACAGACGATCTTAAAGCGGGCCGGCAGCATTCGGAAGGCCAATCCATTGGTCAGGCGTCCATCTGAGGATCGCCCTCCAGACGCGCGAAAGCTGGGGCACAACCGGTCGGGGGTTGAGGCACGAAAAATGCTTCCGCTGGGCAACAACTCAGCCGACCCCAAACTCCTGATCAAGCCGATTGTGGGCATATCCCCCTGTGCTCCCGAAAGCAGGCCGACGAAACCAGCTGCATCTCCGGACAGCAGTTTCTATTCGACCACCACAGGCCTCTCGCCCACCAAAGGCAGTGGTGCCCTGGAGGAGGTAAACATCACATGCAAGCAGCGCCCAAAGTACGTGGAGCTGTCAACGCTTATCCCCTGTAACAGAAAACAGGGCTGCAGCCATGCACTCCTCAACAAAGCCACAGCCTCTGAACTGTACTGAGTCAGATGTGCAGGGACAAGCAGCGAAGCCAATCTTCAGCTGCACTCCGTCAAAGCGGCCTCTCTGCTTGTGGAGATAAACCGTCGCCCAGGACCCCGACAACCTAAGCCATAACAATGACTGCAGCCATCCGGAAAATCCCTCGTACATCCAGTTGACCACGCTGATCGCCGGCGGATCGGGTGTCCACAAAACACGAAAGAAGAGCGACTGCAGTCAAACAAGCCACATAAAATTCACCAGATTAGACAACTGCTGGCTGGCTTCAAGCTGCAGTCCTCCGCGAAATAGAGCCTCTTGGGAGCACCACCAAAATCATTACTTCCTGGTGCCGCCACCCAGCGCCCAGGGCCTCACAGAGACACTTTCCCGGCCAAACTGCACCAAAACACCCAAGAATCTATGAAGGCGAAAGCTTGCCGCAAATCCTTGGTCAACAGCAAATCTGGCCGCCAAAGTGGGAGTGCTGAATGAGCTGCAACAGTCAAAGTTTTCACCCACCGGGGAAAAGACCTCGTCCTCCGAAGCCAAAAGGCCCGAGCAAACCGGGTCCACGGAACGAAAAATCATCCCCAGAAACCACGAAGAGAGGAAGCAGACGATATCGCCCCAGAGGCCCCTTCGGAGCCCTGAGCTCAAACCCGGCGCACAACTATTAAGTCTGCTAGCCAACCTGGTCACTCAACTTTTGGCTCCTCATCCTCGGAGGCAGCAGAGACGGTGTTGAAATGCTTGCCCTCGAACTGCCTCAGCCTTTTCAACAAACTCGGCGATGTTAAACAGTCAGCTTACTTTGAACAACCGTCCATAATGGCACTCACAGAGACCTGGCTCACACCAGATGCCTCTGACGCGGAGATCTCGATAGACGGTTACTCTATTTTTCGAGCCGACTCAAAACGAGGGCGGGCAGGTGGGGTGGCTCTGTACTTACATGCGGCCCTACCAATCCCGATTGTCCTCGCTGACACCACCCCCGCACCCTTTTGCGATGCACTGTGGGTCCAAATCCCGCTGCGCGGGTCCGATTATCTGCTTCTCGGTGTGGTCTACCGTAGCCACTTGAGTCCATCTGAAGATGATCAGTTCCTCACACAAACACTTGAGCAACTCTCCTCCAAATACCATTTCACTCATCTCCTGCTGGTAGGTGACTTCAATGACCCAAAGGCCTCCTGGATTGCACTCCAGCGCGTTTAACTAGGCGGGCCGTTTGCAGCGGCGCTGATTGAAGTCGTTCAACAGAGCGCTTGGACTCAACATGCCGTTGCACACATCTGATACCGCGCAGGCCAACTACCATCTTTGCTGGATTTGGTCATCACTAACAAAGGACACTTCGTTGATCAGATAACAGTTATCGTTCCACTGGGACATAGCGACCACTGTGTGCTGACCTTTGATTTCATCTGCTAACGGGCCAGAAATCGCGAACCTCAAACGTGGTTTCGAGACTTCCGCCGTGCAGACTTCTCAGGAATACGCATCTTTCTTGAACAAATCACACTGAGACCAGCTCCAGTGGAAGAACTATATAAGACCCTTGTCCAAAAAAGTTCACGAGGTTCACGCAACGTTCGCCCGAAAAATACCGGCACGCACTCGATGAACCGCAGGATGCCAAAAAGGATTCGTCGACTCCTGTAAAAAAGATCCCAACTCTTTCCCAAAAAGTTGACTACAGAAGATACAGAAGATGAGCTGGCATTTCGCAAAATGCAGAACCACTGTAAATCATAAATCCGCAAATGGAACATACGAAAACAAGCCACCATTCTGGACTTCGCTCGAAAAAACAAAAACCTCTTGTTCAAATACATAAGACATCGCCGCAGATACAAGCCAACCGCGTTCACTTTGAGGGACAGAAACGGAGAACCGACGAATGACACAACAGTGGTATCTGAGGCTTACGGAGAACGCTTTGCGTGTCTATACTCAGCCAAAGCTTCCCCGTCACATCCACTCTTGTCAAGGCGGAACTACGAACAGCCTCTAACCGACTTGGTCTTCACGGTGGAGGACATTCGTCAACTCTTGCACCAGATCAACCTATTCTGCGCGTTGGGGCCCGACGAGGTCCATCTAAGGATACTGAAAGAAACGTCCTCCACACTGGCAAACCATTTACACTTGGTGTTTCGTCAGTCGCTTGGCGAAGGCCGCCTTTCGTCTGCTTGGAAGGAAGCGATTGTCACGCCAATCTACGAAACTGGTGACCGACCGTCGCCTGGCAGCTACAGGCGCATAAACCACACAAGCGTGCCCTGCAAGGTGATGGAAAGTGTTCTGAAGCGAGCTATACTAGACCACCTCACTTCCAGCAACCTGACATCTCCAGCTCAACACGGATTTCTCCCACACCGCTCTTGCGTGACAAACATGCTCGTGTTTATGGACAGCTTAACCCAAACCACGGACGAAGGACTCATATCGGATACGATATTTTTTGAAATCAAAAGCATTTGATAGGGTCCCACACGCCCAGCTGCTCCAGAACCTCGAGTTTTGCAGGATTCAAGGAAAAATCTTTCGCTGGATCAAGGCGTTCCTATCAGACAGATCATTCAGAGTGACAACAGGCTCGACCTACTCTTCTCCAGCGCCGGTCTCCATTGGAGTTCCTCAAGGCTCCGTCCTGGGACCACTCTTGTTTCTGATCTACGTCAACGGCCCCCCAGATGTTCTTGCAAGTCCATGTCTACTTTTTGCGGACGACTTGAAATCCTGGAGTTCCAATGCCAGTGCCCTCCAAATGGATGTAGACGCTGCCAACCAGTGGCCTTTGGACTGGCACGTTCCGCTGAATGACGAAAAGTGTGTCCATATGTCGTTTGGAGGAGACTCAGCGAATGCCTTTGTTATGCATGGTGAAAAGGGACCAGAAAACATCATGAGGATAGATGCCAAAAAGGATTTGGGCATCTGGGTCCCCCCAAACTTGTCCTTCTCACTGCACCATGAAAAATCAGCCCAAAAGGCCTTCGCCATTTTACGGATGATCCAACGCACCTTCTCCCGTATTATTCGCATCGACTTCCAAATACTCTATGGGGCCCACGTCAGACAGCTCCTGGAATGCGCCAACCAAGTTGTCTACTCAGGACTCACGAAAGTCGTCACCCTCATTGAGCGTGTCTTGCGAGGCGCTACGAGAATGGTTGCTGGACTCAAATCCGTGGACTATGAAACAAGTCTCGCGATGATCGGTCTCTTTCCCCTGGTTGTGCCGTCGCCTCGGAGGGGACCTAATTCTTACTTATGCCCTGTTTGAACAAAGCTTGGCAAGAACAAAAGTGACCCGGGAATCGTGGTTAATAGCCTCGATCCTGTGTATCAATCCGTGTATCCGTGATTCACAAATTTGCACGACAGAATATCGAAACCAATGTCGAAAGCACCCCTCGAAACCAAAATGCTACACTTGAAAATCATAATCCCGTCATTTTATAGTGAAATACTGGTGGTGTGCAACTCAACCTAAAAGGGTACCTAATCAATCGCCCTGTGTTTTGCTGGTGACTGACGTCATTGTTTGAACGCATTAATTTTTGAAGGTTACAGGCCCATTTCGACCGCTTTCGGTTCCTAATGGCCACTTCTCCGCTCTCGTCGGTCGGGCTGTGTTTGCCAATAATTCTGCCACTTAGGAGTTCGGTGGACCTCGTGAGCTGCTTAGTGTTGTGCTGAATTCCG